TTCCCTAATAGTACTTTTTCTATCCAAAAAAAAAAATCTTAATATAGGTACAATATATTTTGGTCTCAGTGCTTTTGAAATCATCTGTTTTTTGAGATCTATTGGTTGCACAATTTTTTTTGGTTAATAAAAAAGAGGGCCATGAGTTACCAACACAGCTACTCTTAGTGGGCGTTCCTGTTAGAGTACCCCTATGGTGTAGAATATTCAATTTGAGCCATAATTACTGGTCTTTGAGTGTGCCCATTATCGCAACCCCAATCAAGTGTGAGTAGTCTAACATCTTTCGGAACAGGATCCAATTAAAGGATGGTCCTTGATCAGTTTCTCATTTATGCAAATTAGGATCTCATGCTTGAAGTATTGGTTGCATACCAGTGGACAACTACTTCATTGGTATTAGTTGTGATCTTAAAGTTCCTAAGTCCATGCTGCTGCTTAAGTAGCTAGTACATATATGCTTAGAAAGTGATAGTTGGGGAGAATCCATGAAAAATGAAATCAATACCAACGTGGCCCCATAATAATATGTTGCATTTATGTTTTCATTTTGTAATTTTGGTTTGTCTTTCACATTCTTGTGGTACCAATCATATTTCGGGCATTTTTTGGTGCTCAAAAAAGATATCCAGTTCTGAATATATTTCTTGTTTTTGTTTCTGTAATTTTCTATTAATGCATATTGTTGTAAAAAAAGAGCTAACTTATGTGCTTGTTTGAATACTGATATTTTTTTTTTTTGAAATATAAGTATGGATATGTATTGATGTAAAGGTGTCAAGGGGGCACCGCCCATTTACAAAAAACTTATAAGTTGATTAAACTATTGACAACGAAAGGTCATCTAAATAGTCTATGTTATGCTCCAAAATGGAGCCGAGATGGTGGAACCAACTGTCAGTGATGATACTAAAATCTACTTCTTTCCCTTCAAAAGTTCAATTGTTTCTTTTTTTCCATATTGTTGGCAGAAAGTTTAAATTCACTGTTTCTGAATATCTACTATTACTGGCTCTTTTTTGCTTCTGTATATTGTTGGCAGAAAGAGCTTAATTACATGCTTGCTTGAATAACGAAAAAGAATACTCTCTTTTTATGCATCTGCGGTATCAACTAGCCAGGAGTTCTATTCTATATGCAACAGGTTGTTTAGGAAGTTTTGACCATTAAAGTTAGGAACTGTGGGAGCAGTTGACATTATATATTTCTGGGGCACCATACTTGCCATCTTGTCAAATTCTGTTTGTTGCTGTCTATAATTCAAAGCAGGAAAGAATATACAATTGAATGGAAACTAAGTGCATAGTGACATATCTGCCAATGATAAGACATTATTTGCATTGTTCAGACCGGGTCGAGAAAGTGATAGCGAGGCAGAAGACATTGAGCATGCTGAAAAGCTTCGTCAAGTGAAAGCAGTTCTGGAGGAGGTTAGTCATCTTATTTTGGAATTGATTTTATTTTCTTTCAGTTACCTTTTGAATTTGTTTTTATTTCTTGTTATTGGTTAGCTTGTAGATCTGCAATTTTATGGTTTATAATTTGGCACGTAGTTCTTCATCTGCCATGGAAATGTATGCTAAGTGTCCCATCATTCAACGAATAAGCATCATAATCCCATCTAAATGGAATCTGATACATGCACTCTTCTGCCCCATTTTCCCTTACTTAGAGTCCTTTAAAGTGCATTTACTAATTTAAGCAAACGGCTAGCTGGATCAATAAAAATTGACCAACCATACAGAAATTGCATTTCTTCTGTCATTCTCGTGATGCTCTAGTTTAGGGATGGAGAATCACTAAGTTTTCTTAGAAGAGTATTTATGGTTCAAAATTGTTCAGTTTGTTGCTTCAACCTTGAGATGGAGTGGAGCATTCCCACTAAAACAAGCCTGGTATCAATGATGCCGAAGAGATTTAGTAAAGCTACAACCTGCATGATTTTGTATATTTCAAACATAATCTTATTTATGCATCCGTTAATGTATCTTTGTTTTGTCTAAGGCTTGTCCTGTGGTTAACTTTCTAAATGCTTGGTTATGCAGGGAGGACATTTTTCAGGTATCTACAGGAAGGTTCAACTAAAGCCACTGAAGTGGGTTAAGGTTCCAAGAGGCAATGGTGAAGGTGAAGAAGAGCGACCTGTGGAAGCTCTGATGGTTCTGAAATATGGAGGTGTCCTTACACATGCTGGCAGAAAGCAGGTAGGAATTAGTATCTCATGTGGATTTTTCCTGTGAAATTTGCATGTATGATTAAAATTCTGTGGCATTACTCCTGAGAAGTTATTTGTGCTTTTTTTTTTGTGTTTCACATTGTTACTTCCACCTTATTTTTTTCTCTACAACCAGTTCTACTTTTCTTTATTATTCTTCTTGTTCATTTGTTGTTTCATTGCAGGCAGAAGAACTGGGTAGATATTTCCGAAATAATATGTATCCAGGTTTGATAATGAGTTCCTTTTCCCTCATTAATATTTATGGTCGTTTCTGTTTTGTTTCCAATAATATGCTCATCCAAGATATATGTAGCTGAAGCTTATTAGTGTTTAGCCACAATTGTCATAAGTGAATTGTTTATTGTACCCTTTGTTGCGGGTAACAACCTAGATTGTAGGAAAGCTAATGGGAAACTCTGAAGTCAAAACCTCTGCTTGATTAACTTGCAAGTGCTGTGTTTTTGGTTAATGTCTGAGATATTCTGTTTCATTCAAAAAATTGTAGGATGGTTGCTCGAACTGGATTAGTGCATCAAAGTTTTACTAATGAGAAACTCTGAAGTGAAAATCTCTGTTGTTTAACTTGCAAGTGCTGCGTCTTTGCTTAATGTCTGATATATTCTGTTTCATTCAACAAATCATAGGAATAGTTGCTTGAACTGGATTAATGCATCATAAATTTAAACTATTCTCTTCTCTAACTTTATGTTTAGCCCTCGTACCCCTCTTAGAGCTTTTTGAACGTCCTTGTAATGTCTCTAACCTGAGCTGTACGTTTTTTGCTGTTTTCTTCAAGTGATTTGTCTTGAGAGAGCTCTTTGTCCATCTTTGTCAAGTTGAGGGAACTTGATTAGGTTGATGAATGTTGGTGATGATTGTTAATACCATCCTTGTTGACTAAATTGTGTTTGAATACCAGTCATCAGAAGCTTTCTTTTATATATTCTCTGGCACTCTGCAATTAATAAATTTTATGAGAGCTTGGTCCTTTTTTGGATGTATGCACATTTGATGGGGCTATTTTTATACCAGGATGTGGCTTTCTGCCATTTTTAGTAAGAATGCTATAAAAAATTGAAACAGACATGCCATGCCTCACATGAAGTGTCAGACCTTCATAGTGATCTTATCTTTTCATGCATGTTATACATGCTTTATACGACAAACATCTCTATCATGTTCCTCCCCTCTTGCTTCCTAGATGGTAGCCTTTTACATTTTATGTAATTGTTAGAATACAGAATATATTTTTAATTAGTTATATGTTGTACTATATAGTTATTTTCTTATATAGGATCTAACAGAATATATTTTTAAGTAGTTATATGTTGTACTATATAGTTATTTTCTTATATAGGTTCTCTGCTATATAGTTAAGTTTCCTATTTGTAGTTTTTTTTGGCATATAATTGCATTATTGAATGAAGTTGTAATTTTTTTTTCGATATGATGCTAAAACAAGGTTTGTAGTAAAAAGGCAGTCTTTTTTTTTGAAGGAACAAACATTATCATCAAAATCCTAGGGGAGAGAAAATCAAGCTGGCATCTATTGTCTTTCTTTTCTGGCTTGTTGACCATAAATTTGGAATTTCTGTGTTGGGTGAATCCTCTGCTGATGGTCCTGTCACTGGCCGACATTTGAGGCCAATACACCTCTTCTACTCATGTTTGAAAATTATCTCTGGCATGGTTTTAATTGGCATGAGGTGTTCTTGTGGTTTTTGTGGGACATGCTCTGACCTGAATCACGGTTGAGGCATTTGTATGGTATTGTTGCAGGAACTTCGTTTCTGTTTGGAGTTTTTGGTGATGTGTTCAGTAGTTTTACTCTTCTTTTTGAGTTGGGTTTTTGTTTGGGATTTTCACAATTGAGCAATTTGTTTCCATTCGGTAATTTTATGGTTTTCTTTTGGTGTTAGTAAGGATGACCTCAAATATTAAGATGGGAACTAAATTGTTCTTATCTATGCTAAGTACCAGATTTACTCAAATACTATTCCTCGGTTGAATGGAAATAATGAATACGATGGGCTAAATTGGTGAAGTTTGCTTTCTACGTTTGACAATGAAGAATAATACGTTTCACACTTCCTACAAAATTCATGACTCACTGTGAGATGATGTATCGGTCCTCTTAGCCACATTGTCCATAATAGAATCATTTCGGTAACATTTAACTGAATAATTTCGTACTCTATTGATTAATAATAATGTGCCAAACTTTTCTGGAGCAATGTTATTCTTACTACATCCTACCTTATTACTTATACGTCTTCTTTCATCCTTAAAAGTGGGATTCTTCATATTGTCATTTATCCTGATATATCCTTGTTTCCTTTGCTTCCACATATTTTGTTGTGATTATGTTATGACTCAATTGCATTTGAACGGTAACAAATTCGACTCTAAAGCTTCAATGTATTTTGTTGACTATACGTATTCTCTGGAAGACTATGTTATAGTCTTGAACCAAATGGGTTAACAAGTCTTGATGTAATATTTTTCAAGTCTCTTCTTTTTTTCACTGAGACAATTATCATGACTAATCTTTTTGATTGTCTTGCTTGGATCCTTTTTTTCCCCCTCATTTTGGTATATCCAGTATCATGCAAGTTTCTACTCTTAACCTTGCTACTCCTTTGGATAATCTCAATTCACACTTTATTCTTGATGTCCTTAGCCAATGGTAAAGAGTCATGAAGGTTAATTTCTTCCATCAGTCACGCCATTGTCTTCTAATCCTACATAACTAACTCATGTTTACCAATTCTTGTTCGAAAAGATAAAAGGTCTTGTACCTCTTGTACTATACATATATGCATATATATTTATATCACTTGTACCCATCCTACTTTGCATTTATGACCTTGTTATTTTTGTTTCCATTGCTACTTTTGTGATAGAAATCTTTTGTCTTGGTTGGAGACAAACAATGTGTAGAAATGTATATATGTAGAAATGTAAATATGCTAAGAGGTAAATTAATATTTTACTAGATTGTTATGATAGTTAGGAAATGTCTACTACCATTGCACTCCGTTAGATTGTTAGAATATTTTCCATAACATTTTTTTGTTTGTTCTGGCCGAATGCCTATAAATTGGCATCTTTGTACCCAATGATAATAATAGAGGATTCTCTCTTCTCCCAAACTCTCAATCTTCTTCATGGTATCAGAGCCAATCTGATCCACATTCATCATCTAAATCAAGCCAAATGACCACGGATGAGCAAACCTCCTCTCCACCAGAAGTTCTTTCAGGATCCTATCTTCCAATGTCAGTCAACGACTCTCACGTTGATTAGGCACCCTCATTCGTCACTGGACATAGGTTGAATGGAAGCAACTATATCCAGTGATCCTCCTCTGTTATGATGTTCATTCGCAGAAGGGAAGAGACGAGTACTTGACCGGAGAAATTGTTCCACCTCTAGCAAACGACCCGAACGCTCGTACGTAGAAAGTCGAAAATAATCTCGTAATGTCATGGCTGGTGAATTCCATGACAATAAAAATTGGAGAAAACTTTCTACTTTATGAGACCGCGTATGATATTTGTGTTGTGGCTCGTGAGTTTTATTCCAGCCGTGATAACACTTCAGCAATCTTTGAAATCGAAAGCCACCTTCATGACCTGCGTTAGGGGGAGCTTTCTGTCACTCAATACTACAACGCCATCACCCGTAATTGGCAACAGCTTGATATCTTCGAAGAATATTAATGGAGCTGCCCTGACGATTCTAAAATCTTCAAAACCATTACTGAACGAAAAAGGGTCTTCAAATTTTAGATGGGTCTCAATAAAAACCTTGACGAAATTCGTGGACGCGTTCTGAGCACCAAGCCTCTATCGAGTCTCAGAGAAGCTTTCTCGAAAATTCGTCGAGAAGAGAGTAGGAAGAAAATCATGATAGAAGAGTTTGGCCTGAACGCCATGGAAATGGGTTCCGCACTTGCTGCTCAGAAGATATCCTCTCTGGGTGAATCCCAGAACAGTGCTCTTATCTCCGAGCGCACCTCTGCCTTTGTGGGTCACGTTTCAAAAGCTGGAGGAAGAATGGGGAGATCGTGGTGTGAGTTTTGTAAAAAACCCTGTCATACCCCTAAAAAGTGCTGGAAATTATATGACAAACCAGCTGAGAAAAAATATTCAAGGGCCGAGGGCAATATGGTAATTTATGAGGAATTATCCTTTGTCCCCACATCCACATAAACAACTCCCTTCGGTCCAGCTCAGATGGAGGCTCTCTTGCAAATGTTTTCTCAGAAGGGCCTACTTGGTAATGCTTTAGTTGCTCAGAAAGGTAATTGTTTACTCAGTTTATCTGAATATTCTGTGTAAAGGCAAATGTGGATTATTGAGTCAGGGGTATCTGACCATATAACTGGGGATATTACACTCCTTCATCAGTACAGTAAGTGTAAGGAAATTTCTTCTATTAAGATCGCTGATGGAACAAGTTCTAAAGTAACAGGAATTGGCTCAATCTATATATCACCGAATTTGGTTCTATATTCCGTCCTCTACGTACCAAATTTAGACTGCAATCTACTATCTGTAAACAAATTATGTAAAGACTTGAACTGTGTGGTTAAATTTGACAAAGTGATATGTGTGTTTTAGGACTTGGACTCGGGGAAGATGATTGGCAATGCTAAGAAGGAATCAGGATTTTTTCTTCTACCAATCACATCACCTCCAAATAGACAAATTACAAGTGCAGTATGTCCTAATTCCGTATTTGTAGGATATTCTAGTATTGAACAATCTATTATGCAATGATATTATAAATTAGGACATCTAAATTTTATGTATTTAAAACAACTATTTTCTACTTTATTCAAAAATAAAAATTTAAGTTCATTTCAATCTGAAGTGTGTCAGTTTTATAAACATATTCACAATTCATATCCAGTATTGCTTACAAACCCTTAAAACCCTTTATATTGATCCATAGTGATGTATGAGGACCGACTCGGGTGAAAAACATTACTGATACAAAATGGTTTGTCTCCTTCAATGATGATCATATTAGAATAACTTAGTCTATCTAATGAAAGAAAAATTTGAGATTGGTCAAGTTTTTCAAAAATTCAACATTATGATTCAAACTCAATTTCAAA